AGTTTAAAAAGCAAAGAACACACTTTGTGCCAAGGAATGGTGCTGTACTGAGAGCTCTGGCAGTGAAAATGTGGGCAGCCTTCAGACAGGTGAAGAGTCTGACTCCTCAAGCTCCAATCTGACACTTCTCACAGATATTCATTTCACTTTTTTTGCTGCTGTTTAAACTTCCCTTCAGGGCAGCACTTCTGCAAAACACCACCTTTCTCCCACCTTTCCATGCTCATCCCAGGGGACTGGTGGTCAAAGTCAGGAGAGCAAACCAGGGGCTCTGATGGGATGTGGAACATGGGTGATGGAGCTGTGAGCCCTCAGATCTCCCTGACAGGTCTGGGCACTTGGCACATCAGGATTGCTGGGTCTGCTGTCACACAGGGGTTCTACCACTGGTGTTATTCCCTCAGCACCTGAGTGACAGTTTAAAGTAAAATTACATGAGTGCTACAGGCTGCAAGCCCTGCCTGAGCCCTGAAGTCAGACGACCTGAAACAACAAATATGCCTGGATAGCAGTTCCCTAAGAAATGTCATCCTTCCACTGCTGCGCCGTTCCTCCTAACGGAACCTGACGGGACCTATCGACTGCAGCGGAACTTATTGATTCTGGGAAATATGAAATGTGTCTCAGAGAGGTCAGAACGTGACTCTGTGTCCAAGGGAGACAATAAGGTGTTCAGAGGCACTGAACAGGGCAGAGGGAGCAGCAGGAAATGAAAGGTGGGGAGTTGACTCCAGCAGGGATCGGTGGGGTTTGAACACCGGCGCCCCAAGGCGCTGATCCAGGTTCCTTGTGAGCAGAAACCACCACAGTGTAAATGTTGCCCGGGCTGTTGCTCCACCTGCTTCCCTCTGCACTAATACACATTTTTTAAGGGATGCTCTTAGAAGGACCAAAAGTTGAAATGCATTTCCTCCTCCCATAGTGGAAGGCACGTGCTGGCAGGGGAATCTGGGAGGAAAATGCTCTTATGGTACACAGGCAATGGACATTTTGTGCACAGGCAACATGCCTTCACATTCCCAGAGGAATTCAGCTAAAAAACATCACTGCCAGAAACTGGAGAGAATTCAGATGCTTGGAACAAACTTATATTGCTAAAGGTGGGGAATTGGTCAAGAAAGATGTTCAGGCTATCTGAAGTTGTTACCTGAAATGTCCTTCGTTTCTGAAAGCACAGAAGTGTAGGTATTCAACAAAAATCAATTTCTCAAAAAGACTCTCCTTCCGTGACCAAAAACCTTTGGTGAGGGCTGAGAAGAAATTGAGGTTTGTGTCTGTATCACATGGACATTTTGATTCCACAAAGCAAAGCAATGGTATTTTTCAGCCGTGAGCCCTTTGAGGCAGGTAACAAATAACAGAGATTTGACAGAGGGAGAAAAGCTTTCTCACAAATCTCCTGTTTTCCCAGTCCCAAAGGGCTGCAGTCTGCCTCTGACCCCTCTTCCATGCTGCTGCTCAGTCCATCATCTGTTGGGTTTGTGTTTTCAGATGGGATTCCAGCATTTTCCTGCTGACCTCCAGCAATCAGTAGCACTCAGCTGCACCTTCTGGGGTGTCATTGCAGTACCCACCACTCCTGAGGCTGCCAGGACATTCTGGAACCACTGCCTTTGGAGAAGGCAGCACAGGGGACCACAAGGAATGGTGTGACTGACATTTGTTTTTATGTTTATTGCTACTACTGCTGTTAACGTGTGTTGTTTTTTTTTTCCTAAAGAGCAGAGTTCATGAATTATGCTCAGCTTAAAAAGAAAGCTGTAGAAAGTACCAATGAAAGAAAAAACTCTAAACACTCCTATTCTCTTATTCTCACTTTTTTTTTTTTTTTTAAGGTTCTGCATCCAGTTTCAGGCAAATGCAGCAGTGCCTGGGGTGGTACCTCCAGAAAGCTCCTGAAGAGGCACCTGCTGTGGGAAGGGAGCAGTGGGAGCTCAGACACAAGAGCAGTGGGCTTGCTGTGAGCAGTTTCTGCACCAGGGAGAGGAAGAACTTGGTCTTGTTCCTGGCTACAGGTGGCTCTGACACATGAAAGGTTTCACTAATTCTCCGTCGAGACCAGTGGATGGTGGCTGTCCTGTTAGAAGTGACTAAGGTAAGAGATCTTGCACTTCACCTAAAACTGACACCAGAAGAAGGGAGGTTTAGATGGGATATTGTAAGAACCTGTGTCTGATTTAGTGCCATACAACAGGATATTGGGAAGAAATGCTTGCCTGTGTTTGGTGCTGAGGCCCTGGCACAGGGTGCCCAGAGCAGCTGTGGCTGCCCCTGGATCCTTGGAAGTGTCCAAGGCCAGGTTGGACAGCTCGTGGGAGGTGTTCCCACATGTGGCAGGAGGTGGAACAAGGTGGTCTTAAAGGTCCCTTTTAACCTGAACACTTCTGGGATTCTGTGATCAACAATGTGAGAATGCCAGCACAGCCTGGAACAAATCCCTGTTCAGTGTTCCTGGGTGGGTGGGGTGACACTGCAGCAGGAGGGTGCAAACCACAAAGATAAGTGAATATTCAAGTTGTACACCAATTTACAAACTTCTAGGAACTTGATTAACCCCAACAAAAAGCTACAGGCAGACTTTGGGGATTGAGCAGTGACACTGCTCTAAGTCAGCTCCCACAGTGGGGATTTTCCCTCTGACCAAAGAGCTCCCTTGTTCAATGTATGGGGAAACACAGACAGCAAAAGAGATGGTGGGAAAAATCAGCAGCATTTACACTTGTGTTGGAAAGCCTTGTTCACATCAGAACACCCTCCCCATGTACCTGAACAAGAGAATGGGGATTTTTAAAAACAGGAAAACCTGCACAGGGTACTCAGTAAATCTGAAAGGAGAACACCCACCTTAAAGCTTAACTCCTGTATGGAATTCTTACCTGGAGTGCAGTTGACACCAGAGGAAAGGGTGAAAAGGCTTACAGCTCTGAGAGAGATAATGACAGAACTGACAGCAGTGGACCCTGCTGGGTCACCAGAGAAAGGGGCAAAACACAACCCTTTGTGATTACAGTCAAACACAAATAAATATGTTGGAAAAGAACATCCTCTATTTCCTGCAAGCAGTAAAGTTTGGGGGGAAATGGCCTATGACAAATATTTTTCTCTGCTGGAGGCAGCAGCAGGGCTCTGACAGGCACGTTGGAAAACAGACCATACGTTTGTGCATATTCAACAGCCCCACTGGGAGACATCATTTCTCAGGCTGCCATTGGGGTTGTGTTTGGCACTTGAACTGTTTCGGGGGCTTTGATAGTCCAGGATCTGTGTAGAGGATGTTTTGTTCTGAGGGAAAAGAGCACAAGCACATGACCAGAAGCTCTGATCAGCTATTGAAAGACCCAGACCAGCAGAGCTCAACAACACAACTCCTTTGTAATGGAAATGCCATACCTAGGCATGAAATTAGGAAAGCAATGTGTACAAGCTGGTTCTGAGAAGATTGAAATCATCCCCAGTATTCCTGCCCAGCAGAAAGGGATGCAAAGTTAAGACACCTCTGAGTGGTGAAGTGTCGACCCAATTTAGCTGCCCAAGCAATCAATGACAGATCTTTATGAGTGTTCAGGAGCCCTAACACACAGATCTTCCCAGGGAAACTGAAAGGAGCTAATTAATAGCCCAGATAAACAGAATGAAATGCAAAGCTGGGCATAGATCTTTCCAGCCCAGTGCTGACTGTGCTGAATTCTCTCCTTGCACTCCCAGCTGACCCCAGTGAGGCATCAAGATTAATGCTTATACAAAAAGCTTTTGCTCTCCACTTTTTGTAAAGCACTTGCAGACTCTCTACTGGAGTGTTTCACCTGGCTGCAATTAGAGATAGTTTAGTCTTGACTTACAGACTTAGCTGGGTGAAGTTTTGCTCTCCCCATCCCGCTTCCAGCACCCTGAAGTGATACCTCTCTGTCTTTGCTGCTGTGGCTGCTATCCCCTAAATAACTGAGACTGTTTAACTCCAAATTGCTCAGCTCCACTCATGGCACCTGTTTGCAGTGTGCTTTGGGACCCTCTGGTGCCCCAAACTGCAACAAGGTGGTGATGTCACTCAGAGTTAACACACAAACCCTGGGCAGGAGATGTTGAAAAGTCATGGGAATCCTCCTTGTTCCCAAGAGGTGCAGCACAAGGGCCCTCAAAGGAGCTTTAGGAGGAGTTCCAGGGCTGGCCTTGAACGTGGGATACTTCCTGGACAGCATACTTGGGGTCATTTGTCCTTTTCAAGAACAGGTTAAGAGATGTGAGCTTGCTTTGGGGACTGGGCTGCTCCAGCCATGGGACACTTGGACAGCCCAGCAGAAGCAGCTCCTGCCCTCTGCCACCAGACTGAGGCCATTTTGATCCAAGTATTTTAGGGAGAAATACCAGTCAGTCTTGTCAGCAGGAAAGGTCTGTCAGGGAAGACATCCCTTCAAGTGCTTGGAGATGGCAGAGGAAGAAGTTAAACACTGAGGGTTAAGAGTGTGCCTTGCACAGGCAGATCCTGCAGCAGGGAAGGCCAAGAGCAGGTTTTCCAGGATCATGATTTTGGACTAAGGTGCCTAAATTTTGTGTACATTTCACTTCAGACTCTGCTTGGATGCAGCCTTAGATGTCTCTTGTTTTTCCAGTGGAGAGCAGCAATACTTCCATGGTGTTTCCCAGTGTCACTGCTAAGCTAGTGATCCCTCTTCAAGAGCCAGGGTGGAAGGTACAGCACAAAAATGTCTTCATTTTTTAACTAAAGTACGGTGAAAGAGGACATCAAATAACAGCATCAGCCTGAGACCACTGGGAGGATTCACAGAATCCCAGAATGGTTTGGGTTGGAAGGGACATTAAAGTTCATCCCATTCCACCCCCTGCCATGGCAGGGACACCTCCCACTGTCCCAGGGTGCCCCAAGCCCCATCCAGCCTGGCCTTGGGCACTGCCAGGGATCCAGGGGCAGCCACAGCTGCTCTGGGCACCCTGTGCCAGGGCCTGCCCACCCTGCCAGGGAGGAATTCCTTCCCAATATCCCATCCAACCCTGGGGTCCAGAGAAATGTGAGATGCTTGAGAAAGGTAAATCTCGGGCTCCAGGGCTGCAGCTGACCTTGATTTCACTCCTCAAGTGAGGAGCTCTCCTGGCTCCAGATGGAGCCTTTCTATGTGGAAGCTAAAGATCATTAAAACCTTCCAGAGGGCAACAGCCAACATTCCCCTTTCTCCCAGCTCCCACTTCCTCACACACCCCCTTGACTGAGGAGAAGGAGCAGATTCTGCTTGGCCTGATTTGGAAGGGAGAGACAAACTCCATTGGGAGGGATCTGGAGTTATCCAGCTGCACCTCAGTCTTTCCTGTCCCATCATTCTAGTGACCAAGAAGTCCTGGAAAATAAATAATATTTGTAATTGTTGGGTTATTCCTCTACACAAATGTAATCTTTCTATCAGTGCTGTGCAAAAGGACATGCAGAGAAAACAGGAATGTTCTTGGGATTGGAGACCAGTGGGCAGAACATTTTTTGCAGGCCCACACAAAACTTTTGGGTTGTCCCAAGCCAATGTCCCAGAAGGACATCAGAGTCAGCACTTTCACTGCTGAAATTACCCACAGCCAAGATAAATACATGAAATATTAGTGGGAATATTGAGAAATAACAAAAACTGGTGCAGAAACCACGGTGGAATGTGCTCGCAGGGACGTGCACAGGCACAGCCTGTCCAAGGGACTTGTGGTCATCCACGGTCCTGGCTCACAACCTACAGCCATTCCCTGAAACCTTCCACCAGCCTGAATTCCTTCTGTACAAAGAGAGTCTCATGGCCTGTTTTAAAGCTCTAACAAATTCATTTTGGTTCAATTTCAGCTTCTCTCCTGGACTACCAGGCATTTGGGAAGCTGTGAAGGTCATACCATCATTGTGGGAGAGAAAACTGTTCCCCTGTGACATCCCCCTTGCTCTGTGTCCACAAACCCCAGGGTCCATCACACAGCCTTAAGTCTGCATGCAAAGAGCCAGCTGGAACCTCTGGAAACCTGGAATGCTCATGAGATTGAGGAAGGGGGAAAGCACAAGCACTGGCCCCTTCTCCAAAAGCTGCACACCAAGATCCCAAATCAGTTCTTATTCCAGCACTCAGGAACTCAGTGGAGTCAGAGCTCTGGGATTTAACTGCTGCTGGAAAAGGAGGAAACTCCTATTTGAATGCACAAAGATTGTGAGTTTTCTTCCTCCACACCAGTGGAAGTTTAATCCAACAGGCCCCTTGCTGTGTGTCCAGTGGCCTGGTCAGCACAGGTGAGCACAAATCCAGTGGAAAGACGTGGGAAAACAGCCTGAGCTGGAGATGTGCTCACATAGCTTCATTTAGATCTTTCCTGATGGGAGAATTGAGAACCAAAGATGTTCCCACCAAACCTACTCATCCAATTACTGGAGCACTTTGAAAACGTGATACGGATCAGAGGAGCAGCCTGCGCTTTTCCCAGGACACAACAGCAGTGTGCAGACACTGCACTTTTGGGAAGCATCAGGAACCAGACACAGGAGCTTTGTGGCTTTTCTTCATTGGTTCTGACTTGCTCTGACTCCTCACCTGCTCACCATTAGCACCCCGTGGTGCAGTTGTGTTTGACATCCCTGTAACAGCCCCTGATTTATATGGCCTCGCACAATCCCTCCTCCTCTGTGCAGCCTTGGGAGCAGCAGAACAGACATTCTGAAATGGAACTCCTTTGAATCAGTCACTGCCAAAGGAGCAGACACCTTCAAAGAGCATTATCTTTGTGAATCAAACTTCACCCTTCCCAAATGATCTCTTTTTTTTAATGAAATGGAGCTTTTGGGGTTTGGCAGAAGTGGACAAATACTCCAATGGGCAGACTTAAAAAAAAACAGGTGAAAGCATGACTGAGATTCAGTCACAGAATAAAAGAGAGAAAGGATTCAGGGAGAAATCCAATGTGCTACATTCATCACTCACTCATTCAATTACAAGCCTTTGAGCAACTGTGCAATGAAGGGAATTCAAGCTCCCCATTTTATGGTGTACCTCTGATGCTTTTCCACATGGCACTGCAGGAGATGAGCCGTGCTCCTTTCTGTACCCATTCTCCACAGAAAATCTGCAAATCATCACCACTGATGTTCCCTAATTTAGAATCCATGTTCCAACGTTCTCTGCCTCCAAAGCATGGTCACCACTGAATGCCCTGCTTGCTTTAGGGATGTGGTTTTCCTTTGGTCTGATGGGAACACCATGATTATGTGCTGCACGTGCCAGAGAGGCAGGGCTGGGTGGGGAAGGAGAAGGGAGGCTTCAGCTCACAAGTGGTAGTACCTATTTTTGGCTCCCAGAGCCAGGCTGTGCTTCTCCCACTCTGTTTGGATGCTCCAACACATTTCACTGGAGATGTCACCAATCCCAGGCAGTCACGACAATCTGGGGTGCTGGGATTCAGCCTCGTGGGGGTGGGAAGACAAGCAGCAATTTTTCTGAAGTCTGTGGCAGGAACAAATGGATTTGTGGTGACTGTTATTTGAATATCAGTATTTAGATGAGGCTATTTTTCAGTCTGAACATACCATTAGAACACAGGAGATTACTCCTGGAGCTTCCTTCCACCTGGCTGCAGGGGAACATCACCTCTTCCTAAACCACCAGGGTGAGGTTTTCAGATCTGCTTAAATATCTTGCAGAACCAAATGCCCTCTCGCTCCTCACTGCCTGGGACACATAAAACACAAAATACAGTCTCCTGGAGTGAATTATTGTCCTGAGTGTGTTTTACATACCTACAGTGCTTACTGGGGGTGCACAGGATTTTCCCAGAACTCCAAGTGCTACAGTTCCCACTGTTGTTAAGTGACAACTTATTTACAGCCCAGAATTCTGAGGCAGCACAAGCCAAGGTCTCTGCTCACATCACCTGCTGCAGGTACCCCCAGAGGTTGTGAGAGCCTCCCCTCTCCATGGCTGTGCTTCAGCCAGGTGAAGGAGGAAGCTCAAAAACTCTCCTGAAACTGAACATTTGACCTGGGCACCTCAGTCTGTGCTGGAGGGGCTCCCCACAAGCAGGTCACCCTGTTCCTGCCCCCAGCACCCTGCTCCTGCCCCCAGCAGCCTGCTTCTACCCCCAGCACCCTGTTCCTGCCCCCAGCAGCCTGCTCCTGTCCCCAACAGCCTGCTTCTACCCCCAGCACCCTGTTCCTGCCCTCAGCACCCTGTTCCTGCCCCCAACAGCCTGTTCCTGCCCCCAACACCCTCTTCCTGCCCCAAATACCCTGTTCCTGCCCCCAGCACCCTGTTCCTGCCCCAAACAGCCTGTTCCTGACCACAGCACCCTGTTCCTGTCCCCAGCACCCTGTTCCTGCCTGGCACCATGCCCTCAGCCCTGCAGCACTGAGCAGCTCCTGCCCCCAGCAGCCTGTTCCTGCCCCCAACAGCCTGCTCTTGCCCCCAGCACCCTGTTCCTGACCACAGCACTCTGTTCCTGCCCCCAGCACCCTGTTCCTGCCCCAAACAGCCTGTTCCTGACCACAGCACCCTGTTCCTGTCCCCAGCACCCTGTTCCTGCCCCCAGCAGCCTGCTCCTGTCCCCAACAGCCTGCTTCTACCCCCAGCACCCTGTTCCTGCCCCAAACAGCCTGTTCCTGCCCCAAACACCCTGTTCCTGCCCCCAGCACCCTGTTCCTGCCCTCAGCACCCTGTTCCTGCCCCCAACAGCCTGTTCCTGCCCCCAACACCCTCTTCCTGCCCCAAATACCCTGTTCCTGCCCCCAGCACCCTGTTCCTGCCCCAAACAGCCTGTTCCTGACCACAGCACCCTGTTCCTGTCCCCAGCACCCTGTTCCTGCCTGGCACCATGCCCTCAGCCCTGCAGCACTGAGCAGGGAGGGGACACAAAGCTGCGGCTGCCCATGCCTGGAAGTTTCCAAGGCCAGGTTGGATGGGGCTTGGAGCAACCTGGGACAGTGGAAGATTCCCTGCCCATGGCAGGGGGTGGCACTGGATGAGCTTTGAGGTCCCTCCCAACCCATTCTGTAATTCCAAGTCCAACAGGATCCAAGGGAAGACAAGGCAGAGGGTGGGGAGCTCAGGCATCTCTGATGCCAGCCCAGTGCTCTGGGGAAGTGGGGAACCAAAAGCCAGCCCTGTGGGCCAGTGCCTCACCCACCAGAGGATCAGCTTTCCTTTCTTCAGCTGCTTTTCTTCATTCTGTTCTCCTGCAGCACCCTGTGCTATGGAGTGACAGAAACACGTAACAGCTTCTCCAAACACAGTTATCTTTAGAAATGGAACTGCAAAAGAAAATGACACCATGTAGACACTGTAAAAAGCAAGCCTTCACTACATTAAAAAAAAAGAAGTTACATTCTTGATCAAGGAACAAACTGGTCTGAATAGTCACAATCACATTTTACAGCCATGTAACTCTTTTTATCTTTTTCTCTCCCAACATCTGAAGAAGATGAACATCTGATTCCTTTATGTGGGAATTGCTTAAACCAGCACTGGGAGAAAATACGCAGTTGGATATTGATCTGAAAAGATGGAGCGAGTTCAACCCTGAGTTAATGGTCCTGGATTTTGGACAGGGGCTGACAGAGCTCAGCCCCTCTCAGGACCAGCCCCAGCCCGAGGCTCCTGCAGCTCCATTCTTTTCAGCAAAGGTTGGCTGAAGGAGCACAGCACCATTTTATTTAATCATGGTTGGAGTTCTCATATCCACAGGAAAAAAATCCTGGGAGCAGAGTGTATTTCCATGATCAGTGCATACAGAGTGGTATAAAATGTCTGCACCACTTCTTTCCACTCCAGCCTGTGCCTTTGAAGTCATGGTAACAGCTTTTGGATCCCAATCCTCTGATGAGACTCCTTGATTTATTAGGTAAAACATCTGGAAAAAATGAGGACTTGTGGCAGTGTAAATCCTCCAGCAGGAGCGGAGAGAGGTTTCATCTGAGCAGCCCTCCTGTCCAAGGCAGGAAAGGCGAGCCCTGGCCACTGGCTGAGGGTGCTCCCAGGCTGCAAAGCTGCAGCCGGGCCCTTCCCGTTTCACCAGGGGCCAAAAGCAGCTGTGAGCAGAGGAATGCCCAGCCCGGGCAGCTGGGGCCACGCCAGCCCCTGCTGTGGTGTGCAGGGTGTCACAGCAGGGCTGCCCTGGCAGCACCACGGAGCCCCTGCTGTAAATCCCGAGGTCTGGGAGCACTGGGGTGTAAATACCTGCAAATACCTGCCTGTCCCCACACAGGAACAGGCACCAGCCAAACCACTGCCCGGGCCCTGCCCAGAGGGGCCTTGGGGTGACTCTTCCATCCCATAATTACAACCAGGGAAAGTTGGAGAAGAAAATGGTTTGGAAGGAATGAAGCCCGTGCAAGTAACAAACAAGGTGACACGCACTTTGTGAGGCAGATTGCTTCTTTTAGGTGACATGCACTTCGTGAAGCAGATTCCTTCTCTTATTTGGAACCACCCTGAGGTAAGAAAAGAGGAGAGAGGGAACAGCAGGAGCAGCTTGCTGTGCTTGGGAGTTGGGCTCCATGCAGGGTGTGTGGTGGGCAGACACGTGTGAGAGCACACGCGTGTGCATCCGGCCTTGGGCACGTGGGGGCAAAGGTACAAATCACCCAGGTGCTTAACTCACAGTTATTTATTTACTCTTTGCCTTCTCCACACAACAACCCAGGTTCCAAATTTCAGCGCTGACACTCTGGGGAAAATCCCCTAAGAACCATCCTTTCCCAGTTATTTTCCTATCTAAATCCCTCTTCCAGCAATTTGAATCACACAGTTCAAACACCAGCCCTGATGCCAATGGGGCTTTTTGGAGGGGGCGTAGGACTGGCAGAGGAGGGGGAGTTTGGGGAGTATTTTTTTAATCAGATAAATTATTGCTGGGAAACCAGCCACTTCTCTCCATTCAATTTATACTCTATGGGGAATCCATCTAATACCCCTGCTCAGAGTGTGAGGCAGGACCAGCGAGATGCTGCATCAAACCAGGGAGGGAGACAAAAGATGGGATGGAGTGCAGGGAACGAACAAACAGCAGGAGGAAAGGGCTCTGGAAAAGCCTGCAGAGAACAGGGAAAGCCAAGGGATGTGTCTGCAGCTTCTCAAACAAGGGAGGAGGGGAGAAAATGGATTTCTCTGCTGGCAAATTGGAGCAGGCTGGAGCATGGGCAGAGTGGGATGGTGTGGGGTGGGATGGGATGGGGTGGGATGGGATGGGATGGGATGGGATGGGATGGCATGGCATGGCATGGCATGGCTCAGAAACACAAGGAGCTTTTCACCTGCAGGGAGGTGGCAGCTCCAGGCTGGATGGAGGGTCCGATCAGGCTCTGCTTGAGTTTGCAAAGTGAGTGTAGCAATTTCCCATTTCCCATTTCCCAGTGGAACTGGGAAGCTGCCAGCTCACCTGACTGCTGTATTTGGAAGTGATGAACGCTTTGCTGGCTGGCAGAGAGAAGGCAAGGCTGGGAACAGAGACAGTTTGCAGCACTGGGGTTCCAGCCGTGCTCACAGGGCAGCGTGTCTGGGAACCTTGCCCTGCTGTCTGGCATTCCTCTCATCCCTGTTTGTGCTCCCTGCTCACCTCAGCTCTGCTGCAGCTCCACGGCTGGGGGACAGGCTGTGTCCCGAGGAGCTCCCCATGCAAAGGGCACAGCTGGAGCTGGGCACTGCCAGCAGGGGCACAGGCAGGCAATGACTGTCCCGAGCCCACCGAGCGAGCCGGTGACCAAACCTGCCCAGAGCCTGCTGCCCAGGCAGGACTGGCTCTCTTTCATGTGCTAACACCAATTTAGTCCAGAGGCTTCCCAGTCCAGCACTTCCCAGTGACTATAAATGCACGTGGAGTTTTTAAAGAATTACAGGGTAATGGTACCTGAATGGGTGTCGAGGTGCACTTTGCTGGCCTTTTATTCTTCTTTATAACAAAGAATTCAAAGCTTTAGTGGGAGAGTTGGCAGTAAGCTCAGGAGATGGGGAGACTTCTGAGGATGATTTCCCAGATTCTGGGAGTGACTACAGTACAAATAATGTTGGAAAAGAAAGGAATTGACTCAGCAGGAGGCAAAAGGGAACAAGTGGAAGAGTAACTCTGCTCTGGAAAGCTGCGAGGAGAATATGACACAAAGCAGAAAAGAGAAATAAGGCCCAAAAAAAGAAATCTAACGTGTATTTCAGAGGGATTCCTTCTGACAACCTGACAGTCCAAAAAGTGCTGAGTGCCATTCTCAGGAAACTGGGCCTTACACGAAGTCCAGGGAATTTTGGCCCAAAACAACAAAGAGATGCTTTTGCTCAGAGCTCATTCCCATCCTCCCCAACAGTGCACGGGCTCTCTCCAGTCCCCCCTGGCTCAATCTAAGCAGTGTGAAAGTGTGAAAATGCTCCTGACATTACACCCTCCTTTCCCAGGCAAAATTAATGCTTGAAGCAACACTGATCTAAACACATAATTAAACCCCCTCTAGCCCACCTACCTAATAAACTAATTTCCAGATGCCAATTAACCTCCAAGGTTATTACTGGGGATTACAGATCTGCCTAGAACTCCTCGTGTCAGGATGCAGGGAGCCCACTTGTTCTGCAAGTGTCAGGTCATGGGGACCACCTTAACCTTGGATCCCTGTCCAGCTACCACAGTCCTGGGAATAAAGTTAATAACTTTCTGGCATTTTCTCCCTCTCTAAGAAATGGAGAAAGTGTTATCTCTTCCTCCTCATAATTTTTCCTTGTATTTTGAGTCCCCAGACATCTGTACTTTGTTAAAGCACTGCCCATTTCAGAGGCTTTTTCCAGGACTGGATGAACTCTGGTAATAGATATCCAAGCTGCTTTGTACATTTAGTAGTCCCTAAATGTCTGGTTTGGAGTCTGTTCCAGATTCTAATCATGTTACATTAAGGTTCAGGGACTCAGTAACCTCTCCCCTCCCAATCCCCAAGAAAAACAGAAACAACAGCCCTTCAACCCCAGCTCAAGCACAAACCTCCCCAAAACCCCAGCCCAGAACCATCTTTCATCAGTCTCTGTTTTCCATGAATCCTGGCTCCACAGGACGTGCAGTCTCCCTGTCCAAGGCAAGAACACCCATGACACGACTCAGGACTTTCTCCTGACAGAACAAGGTGCAGAGGCTGCTCATGGCCAGCCCATTAAGGGGCTGTTTAAGCCTCTCCAACCTTTCTGGAGCCTCGCTGGCCTGTGAGAGTTTTGGGCTGCTCCATTGTTCCACGTTGGTTTTCATTCCTCATTTCTGTCACACCTGATGCCATGTGGTTTGTAGAAATCCCTCTGGGCTCAATAAACTGCGGAACTGAGCCTCCTTATTCTGCTTTTTTCTTTCACTTGTGGGGACTCTGCTCTGGGTTTCTTTTTCCTCTGTCCAGCTGAAAATTTTCAGGTAACTTTTGGGAATTTCATACTGGTGAAGTTTCTCCCAAGTTTGCTGAGTTTCAGAAGGAATTCCAGGGAAGGGAAGAATGGCAGGAAAACAGCAGGATACCTCTTTAGAAACAAAGACTTGTGCAAAAGTGCTGCTGGAAATCTTGTTTTCATCACCCACAAATTCCCTGATGATGGAAAACGTCCCCCACTTTCCCATCTTCTCCCATTTGCTGCAAGTTCTGACAGGAACAGCTTCTGCTGGGAAGAGCTGACTGTGCCAGAATGGGAGAGCTGCTGTTCTACACCGCCCTCCCCTCCCCAGATCCCCACATTTCAGCCCAGAAAATGGAAATTGCTCTGTGTTTACCAACCCTCCTGCTCCTTCCTGCTCCACCAGGACCTCTGTGCCTGAGCCAGGTCTCTGCTGTTTACAAGCCCATCTGCTGCTGTTGCTTTTCCTCACCTCAAGTTTGAATGCTCTGTTCAGGATTTCACTCACCATTGTGTTGGGAACTGCAGAGAGAAGCCGAAGATTTCAGGTGGGAAGTGAGCAGCAGGGAGGGAGGAATGCAAATCTGTTCTCATCTAAAGAACCCTCAAAATAATTAAAAAAAAAAAAAGAAAGAACCAGATGAAAGAGGAAATTCCAAATGTTTTCAGCAGCACAGTCATTGCAAGGAGAGTTTGTCTCATTTTTGTGAGAATTTGAACATTTAGAACAGAAGGGGAAAAGCACAAGTGTTCCAATGGCTGTTGCCCTGAAATTACCCTGGTCCCTCTGGTCTCTGCAGATTAGTCTCTATAGGAGCTTCAAGCCTCCACTTTGCCCAAACCTGTCAAAAGTGGGTTGAGAGCTCTCCATGTCGTGTAACTCAAGGCCACATCTCTCCAGGAGTAAAGGGGAGACCCTTGGGAGTCACAGAGAGACTGGAGATGTCTGTGTCTGCCCAGAGGCCCCTGTGAGCAGCAGAGCTGCTGCCCTCCTGCCCAAGCCTGCCCGAGGGGCTCTCTCTCCAGAGGCTGAGAGATTCAAGCTCTCTCCTATCCCTCCCTTTGCCAGCAGGGAAGCACAGTGTGGAACAAGCCTGGGCAGGTGCTCAGACACCAGCAGGCTCCTGCCAGGAGCAGAGATGGGAAGCAGCCAGGCTGTGGCTCATGCTGTGCTCCTGGACACGGTGTGGCTGCAGTGGGAACCAGTGACCCCCCCAGCTCTGCTGGGCCTGAGTTCTGTCTGCTCCCAGTCCATGCTGGTGCCTGGATTGGAAGAGAAGACAGAAATTGTTTTCCTGGACCCTTCTCAGAGTCAGTGAGAATCAGGAGAACCCAAAGAGCTGAACTGCCCTGACCAGAAAACATCGGTGACCAAGGTGTCTGCTCCAGCCCTTCCTGGGCTCTACTCCTGCAGTTGTGAACTCAGCCAAGAACTGGCTAAAGGGAGCAGCATTTGGAACAGGCTCTGCTGTGCCCTGAGCTTTGGGAGGCCCAGCCTGCCCAGACCCACCTGCCATTCCAGGTGGGAGAGCAGACATGGCAGGTTACAGAACAAACATCCACGGGAAGGTCACACTGTGTGTGTGGACAATGACCAAGAAGGAGCAGGAAGAACTGGGAAGTGGAGAGGATGGATTCTCAGGAAGGAAAAGCCCACCAGAGGTTCCTTCTGACTGTCCCTCTGTGCTGCAGGAGCACAGTGGATCAGCTGCACCAGTTCTCAGCCAGGAATGTGCCTGGTTTAGGGAAGAACACACTGTCCTACTTGGCAGCTTCCTGGCCCTGCCCTACCAGCTCAGCACAATGCACAGATCCCATCCCAAGGCTGAGGCTGTTGGGACAGGAAACTCCCAGGAGGGCAGGAGGCCCCTGCTGTGGCCAGGGCAGCTGCTGTGCTCCGACCTGGAACCCAGGATAACACTCAGGATAACATTCCCTTCCATCTGCAATGCCTATGGCCCTTCCCCAAAGGATGTGTGTGTTTGGATCATCTCCCTTTGAGGACTTCACCGTGCAGAGCAAGGCCTGAAGAGCCCAGAACTGCTCAGAGGTGCTGAGTGAGTGCTGGTTCAGCTTCCCCAGCCCAGAGCACTCATGGAAACTGCTGGATTTACAGACATGCTCCCAATGGAGCCAGCAAGGTGCTGGGATGCCCTGGAAATGCAGTGCTGAGCAGGTGAGGGCAGAAAGACTGAAATTAGACTTTGCAAGAAGTTCCTGCCCCGTTCACTCCCAGAAATGTCCTCTTTGAGCTGAGCTGTTCCTGGGAATAGCTGTGTCTAACACCAGGCAGTGCTGCAGCTCCAGGGCCTGGAGCAGGACCTCTGGAGCACACATGCTCTTCATTAATGCTAATCCAGGAGCAGGAGTGATCCGAGAGCAGAACCTCCGAGGGGACTGAGAACACAGACACCGCCTCACGGAGCTGCGCTGCAGGGCGGGATCCAACCTGAACGTCCTCCAAAACGCACTCAGATCTGGTTGCTCTGGTTTGGCCTCGACTCCAGCAGGACAGAAGGAGCTCAGGGAGATGGTGAGAGAGGGGAGAAGGAAGAAAGGAAACCAGTCTGCTCCCTGTGCTCCCCAAAAAGCAGCCTTTCACTGCTGGGGCTCTCAGCGTGCACTACGAACTTGCCTCCCTTCCCTCGCTCCCACTTACATTGTTCACTTTCCTGCAAATTGTTTCCACATTCTGTATAAATAACCCCGGTGCCAGCGAGGGGGAGGGGAGGCGCAGGGAAGGGGTGGAGGAAATCCATGGCTTTGTTACTTTGGAAAAAGAAGGTGGAGGATGGAGAGGAGCGGTTGGAGCCCTGGCAGACGGAGCACAGAGTTGCCATCGCGCTCGCGTTCAGACCTGGAGGAAGAAGAGTAAACAAGGAGGAGATTATATATAATTATAGACAATCATGTTGCCGGGGATAAACAGGAATCAAAAGCACAGAGGCACTGGAGTCTGGCACATCCCCAAGCACGGAACAGAAGCCAGCCAGCGAGAGGCACTGCGGCAGGAACGCGCTTCCCTTTGGGCCTGCTTTCACTTAGCTCGGGGGCTGGGGGGTTTTTTCCTCTCTTTTTGGCTGGAGGCATTCCCCCATAAAGAGAGGAGCCCATCCAATGGGGAACAGAAGCTAAAATGAAGTCAGCAGAATTCTTGTCTGTGACATTCACCGATTACCCTGTGAGAAACGTCAGAAACATTTGGAAAAGATACAGCCCACAGAGGTCAGCAGGAACAACAACAACAGGAATTTCTGGAAAAAATGGCTTTAGAGACACTCCAGAATCTGTGCCTGAGTGTTCTGTGGGCAACTCCTCTTTGGCAGGACACAGAGGGGGAGCTGGAGATGAGGGTGGCACTCGGGTCCTGCTTGTGGCTCCCAAGGATCCAGGGTTTGCTTAATGGGGAAATGGTGAACAAAGCCATGGAGAAAACCTGAAACAACAGCAGATGGGCCATAAGGGCTGTGCTGTGGGTTTTTAAACGAGGACTTGGGGGAATTTAACAAAGGAAAAAGAAAAGAAGCCTCCTTCATTCCCTGGAAGGCTCTTGAGAGTCAGAGGGAAGGTGACAAACAAAGGACAGCAACCACCCGATGGTGACAGGAGGAGATTGTTTAGCGAGGCAGTGTGAAGAGCTCTCTCCCAGGCACTGTTTTCAATCCAAATAGCTCACAGCCTGCTGAATTCTTAAGCCATTTTGCTGATCTCTCAGCTGTTCTTCATTGAGAACACAGGCAGATACTTCAAAGCAAAAAAGCAGAGAGGAAAAATAAATATATATAAGAAACAACCAGACCTGTGTTTAGAATCTGCATAAGACCAGAGGAGGCAGGGAATGCTCACAGGCTTCTTCACCTTCTCTCTTTCAGTACAGGTGCTCCAAGTGTCCTTTATCCTAAAGAAAGAAAATGGATTTTTTAAAGGGAAATGACATTTACTCTCTGAGAACAGTGTCACAGTTTGGTGGATGATATTATTTGGCTATCTGGATGTAGGATTGCATATTTTCTGTGCATTCATCATTATGGGCATCCTTCCTCTGGGATTTCTTCTGCTGAAAAATCCTTCCCCAGAGGATGTACCTGTGTGTGTGCCCATGTGTGCAGTGAGAGATCTCTCTGCTGGCCACGTAGAAACTGTTTGGGTATCACAGACAAGTGATGAAACAGGAGTCATGTTCCTCTCACAACTGCTGGAAAGAGCTCAGAAAAAGCAGAGGGCATGGACTTGGAAAAGACAGTAAAGGGTTAAAAAGGTATTTGGAGTCCAGGTCTTATCTACTCTAAATTTACATCGACTCTGTGAGGTAATATTTAAGCAATCTCCTCCCATGCCAAGTTACAACAGCTTCTTCCAAATATCCCAGACAGTGAACAGAACCAAGACTAAAAAAAAAAAAGATAAAACAAGGATAGCAAAAATAGCCAAGCACATCCTTTCCCACGTGCCCCTGTGCAAAGTGGGGCACAAACAGTGCCAGGACTCAGCCTGCTGGTGAGAGGGTGCCTCTGGACAGGCTGCAGCCTCTCCACTTTCTCTTTCATTTGTACCTGACCAAGAAGGGAGAAGGACACAGACCTGACCAAGAAGGGAGAAGGACACAGAGCTTTTGTCCCGATGTTCTGGCAAAACTGAAATGAGGTTACTGATCTCCTGCAAGCACAAATGAGCATCAATCACCAAACACTCATCAAAGCACAAAACACAGTCCCTTGGTGTTGTTAGACAGCAAGAATTAAGAGTTTATCAAGCTGGAAAGAGCAGATCCTCGAGGGAGAATGGATTTCATAAGCAAGCAGCAAATCCTTCTCCAGGCGCCTTGGTGCAACTTTGGCAGTGAGGAAATCAAAAGAGCTCCCACCTAAAGAGAAACACACAGGAGTGTTCCCAGCAGGCATCTTAGGAAAAGCCCTTGGCGGGAGAAAGTGTCAATCCTGCCTCGCCTCCTCCAGCTTTCCTGAAGCAAAGAGGGAAAAAAGACAGGGGGAAATGAAACAGAGGAGGATATTTGCATTGCTGCTTATTTTTACCCTGCAAAACAAATCTGTGTGTGCTGGAGGAATGGTTTGCACTGGCTTGCCACAAGAACTCTGCAGCTGGGGCAGTCAGTGGGACAGCCTGGCTTAGGACAGGCTGGAGGCAGCAAGAGCTGCCTGGCACATCCACAGAGGGGCATCCCCAGAGCTCTGCCAGGCCCAGGGCTGCCACAGAAGCTGCTGAAGGTTGGCAGAGTGAAACTCAGCTGTATCTCACCCTGCTAATCCCATTTTGGAGACTGGAACTTGGCCATGGGGAATGAAAATATGACTGAAGCATTTCTTCATTCCAAGTTTGCCTGGCTGCCTTGGAGTCCCACCTCTGGAAAATCCAAAGATAAAGGGACAGAGCAATTAGGGTTTTCTCGTGGTGCTGGAAATCCTTGTATTCCCAGCCCTAGGACACTGTTATGTCCTAAAGTGTCCAAGTGCACAGTAACTGCACAGAGATGGGGGATTGCTCTGAGGCTGCAGCATCACGCACTGCACCTTTAGTCACCAGTGACCTCTCCATGGCCCCACTTCCCTAGCCAGGTGCTCAGGAGGCAGATGTTTAAACCTGCCATCCAGAAAATGTGTTTCCCTGTCACTGTTCATGTGCTGACACTCCTTATGCAGCCACTTTGGAAATAAATATTCCCATTTTTATGAACATGGGCAGGGATGAGCTCAACCCTCTAGGCCAGAGCTGCTGGGCACAGGCAACTTCCAACACATGCCTGTAATGAAGTAGAGAGATGCTCAGGGGAACCCAACATTTTGTTTAATGAAAAAAAGCCCTGCTTCAAGCTTCTGAAGGGTTATTATAAGCTGTGGCAAGATGAAACTCAAGACATAAGTCTCTTTGTATTTAATAATACATGGGATCGATTTTTTCCTGTGGAGAAACTTCAATGAACACCTTTTTTTTTGTTTAAATCTTTTGTTGCGGGTATTGATTATTCATTGAAAATCTAAACCCCAAAGATGTGACCAAATGATTTCACAAAAAAGGTCTGATTTCTGCTCCAAAGCAGGCATTTCCAAGCAGTGACAACCCTTTTGCTGTACAGATATTGCAGCGCTGACGGTGAGGTTATAATTAGCCCATACAAATGTGTACACAAAAGTACATAACTGCATTTCAGGGCAAACTACTCACCCCCTAAAGGAAAAATGCAGCTACAATACACACCAGAGAAATGCAGCAAGCATTCTGATCTTAGCAGGTAATTAAAGCAGATTAATAAAGTCAATTTATTACCGAAGTGTCCCCAGAAAGGCCCCCTTGAAGAGCTGTGACATCCTGCTGAGGAGGCACACTCCCTGCCTTTACTGTTAAATCACTTTGGCACAGAGACGGTCCAGCAGCAATGACTCAAACACCTGTGTTTCTACACCTGATGCAACACGAGGGTGCCATCCATCCTTTTCAATATGTATTTATGCTTCTTTAACCTCGCGGATCTCCTCCTCAACGCTGGCTGCACTGCGGGGCTGGTGGGATTTATTCTCCGAGCTGGAGGGGGGGTGGAGCAGATTGAGACGCACATGAGACAGGAGGAGGCAGAGGGAGAAAAGAAAGGAAAAAGATCAATTAACGACCTGATCCCGGGGACAAACCAGCACATTTGTGGTCCCTAAAGTCCCCTCAAGTCGGTCATGGGCGTAAGTGCTGGGGAGGGACGCGGTGCTCTGTGACAGAGCCCAATTCCAGCGGCCGGGCACGAGTCTCCAGATCACAATAAGGCAGCTTGAAGGTGACAGATTTCATTGTTGAAGGTGATAAAATTCCACGTGGCGCGCTGCAAAACAAGGGCTGGAGCTGCGCCCGCGGAGAGGAGGGAGCGGCGCCGAGGCAGCGCGGCGGGGGGAGCGGCAGCCTGCTCTGCGGCCGGGAAAGGCCCGGAGCAGCGCCCGGGGCCCGCGGGGACAGACAGGGCTGCCCTGGCCCGACACAGCCCAGGGGCTCCGGTGGCCAGTGCCTGGCACTGCGCCCGAGCGGAGCCGGCCCGGGATGGCACCGGGAACCGCGGGGAGGAGGGGAGAGAGAGGGAGAGAGGGAGAGGGAAAAGAAGGAGAGGGAGAGAGAAAGGGAGAGGAGAGGGAGAGAGAAAGAGAAAGGGAGAAGGAGAAGAAAGGGAGAGGGAGAAGAAAAGAAAAAAAGAAAAAAGAAAGAAAAGAAAAGAAAAGAAAAGAAAAGAAAAGAAAAGAAAAGAAAAGAAAAGAAAAGAAAAGAAAAGAAAAGAAAAGAAAAGAAAAGAAAAGAAAAGAAAAGAAAAGAAAAGAAAAGAAAAGAAAAGAAAAGAAAAGAAAAGAAAAGAAAAGAAAAGAAAAGAAGAGAAGGAGAGGGAAAAGGAAAAGGAAAAGGAAAAGGAAAAGGAAAAGGAAAAGGAAAAGGAAAAGGAAAAGGAAAAGGAAAAGGAAAAGGAAAAGGAAAAGGAAAAGGAAAAGGAAAAGGCAGCCAGGCAGGGTCCTGCAGGATGCACACTGGCCACTGCACCTTCTCCGTGCTCCTTGCAGCTGCTCTCCCCCAGTTCCCTCCCATCTCCTGTGGGAGTTACACCAGCACAGGTTTGTCATGAACAAGGTGTCCCAAAAGCTTCAGGATTTGTTTCCAAAATAACCCCCGATGCTGTTACACAGCTGAAACACCCATCCAGCAAAAGCCTGACCACTGCTGTCATTAACACATGCCCACTTTGCTGAGAAACTGGGCAAGAGCTGGGCAGGGACAGGTGCTGACTCCCTGGCTGGACACTGCCCCAGCCAGACTGCTTTGAAATGCAGGAAAGACTCAGTGGCAGAGATGTGAAAACAACAGGAAAATCAAAGCCTGAGACTAAAGGAGCAATTAAACCAGCCTCAGAATATATTTGAGTCAAATCAATCCACACAAGAATTGCAGTCACGGTGTGCTGGTGCCCACACTTCTCCCTCCCTCCCTCTTCATTTCCCTCTCCCTCCCTCCCTCCCTCCCTCCCTCCCCAACCCAGGCTGAGATCCAGCCTCACTGTCTGCTTCATCAGAATATGCACAAAGTGCAGTGACAACGCATCTCCTAAGATGCTTTATCAGTTTTTCAAAGTCCCAGTTCATCCTCCTCTTGCAGATCCATTTACATATTGATGTATTTATTCCCCTCTCTCCAGGCAGGCCCCATGAGATGAAACTATTTTATTTACAAAGACATTGGGGCTGCAGCTTCTAACAATTAAGTCAGCCAAGATGGGACTTTGCTGGTGCTCCCAGATTGAAGTGTGAACAGAGGAATCAGCCTCGTCAGCGATTTGGGAGCAGCCAGGGGGCCACTGGCACAACCCCATCCTAGAAACCACTCAATAGCTGCTGCAACTGGGAAAAATGAATTGGGGTGGTGGGAGGCACCAGTGTGCACAAGGGAGAGATAATGAGGCAACAGCAGGAGAGATGAATAAAACCAGGAGGAGAAACTTTGCCAACAGGGCTCACCTTCAAAGGTTGGTGCTCCAGAATGGTTTGTGCCCCCTGGGAACTCACAGGCTCCTGGGAGCTGCCCCTGCTCCATCTCCCCGCTCCACAGCAGGCACACAAGGCTCCAGCAGTGTTCCTGTTGGCTCCTGTGCCTCCCACAGGTGAAATACATCCACCAGAGCACCTCAGGCTCCTTAAACACCAGAGCTGAAAAACACCTGCCTATTCAGGCCTGTATAAATCTGGCACACTATTGCCTCTCCCTGACAGCAACTTCATCCAGCGCCAGCGTTCTTCCCAGCATCTCTGACATTTCAGAATTATATTTAGAGACCTGGATGGGAATTTAATTTTGAAGTTTTCCACGGCACCCTGTCATATAAATATTCCTCAGTGCCTGCCGTCGGGGTGTCGGCGCGGAGCGAGC